TATCCAGCTACACAACTGAATTTGTTTATTAAATCTAGCAGTTTTTTTAGTGGAGTTTTTGGGGTTTTCTGTGTAGAGTATCATGTCATCTGCAAATAATGATAATTTAACTTGTTCCTTTTCTATCCTTATTCCTTTTATTGCTTTATGTTGTCTAATTGCTCTCACTAGTTTTCAGAACTATGCTGAATAAGAGTGGAGACAGTAGACATCCTTGTATTCTGGATTTTAGAGTATAAGCATTCAGTTTTTCTTTATTTAGTATGATACTGGCTGTTGGTTTGTCGTAGGTGGCTCTTACCAGATTGAGATAAAGAGCATCTATTCCAATTTTCTATAGGGTTTTTATCATGAGTGGGTGCTGGTCTTTGTCAGAAGCTTTTTCTGCATTTATTGAGATGATCATATGGTTTTTATCCTTGGCTGTGTCAATATGGTATATTACATTTATTGATTTACATATGTTGAACCATCCCTACATCCCTGGGATGAATCCAACTTGGTCATGGTGTATAATCTTCTTAATGATTTGCTGCATTCTGTTTGACAGTATCTTACTGAGGATTTTTGCATATATGTTCATTAGGGAGATTGGCCTATAGTTCTCTTTCTTAATTGGGTCCTTCTCTGGTTTTGGTATCAGGAGAATGCTTGTTTCCAGGAGTGAATTTGGGAGTATTACTTCTCTTTCAACTTCATTAAAGAGTTTGAGAAGTGGTGGTGTTACGTTTTCTCTAATTTGCTTGTAGAATTCGGCAGTGAATCCATCAGGACCTGGGCTTTTCTTTGTTCATAGGTTAACAGTAGAAATCAGCAATCCTAACAGAGTCAAACACAAGCTGGATATTGTCATACCATAAGAACTAGTACAAGCTGCAACTATGTCACCCTTACCAATAGAAAAAAAGTTCTGCAATAATAATATAGACACAAAGACAAACCAAATATGATGTATAGTAAACACCTACTGAAAGCAACAAGTGTAGTACCTATTCAACAGAAAAGAATTCAGCAGTAACAGCACAGTCAGCTAAATAGCTACAAATTAATAAAGTGTAATAATAGCAATAATAAAAATGGAGGGGTAAAGAAAAAATGAAAGAAGTTAAAATTTGAAGGAAGAGGGAAGAAAAGTAAGGTTTAAAATCCAGTTAAAAAATAGTTAACAAAGTTAGGTAAAAGTAATATAAAAGAAAAAAATGAAAAAAAAAGTTTTTAAAAACTAAAAGAGCAAAAGAAAGAAGAAAAAGCAGTCTACTACACAAAGTCTAAAAGGTCCCTGCAGGTGTTTGAGTGAGTGGTTTCTTTCTAGGTCCTGTAGTGTTGGAATCCACCAGATTTGGGGGAGAAATAGTGAGACACATTAGGGCCTGTTCTGTTTCCATGCCCACTCATTGGTACCTGAATGTTGAGTTCTATCTGCCTTTCCTGCTTGGCAAGGTCAGGCAGTGGTGTGGTATCTGCCTTAGGGCTGTTTTCATTTTGTGGGCTCCTGGTGTTCATGCCCTTCCATGTACACCAGGTCACTACTCTCTCTCCCTGGCTTTATGGCCTGTGGACTTGTGAGGTGACCCCCTTGCTCCAGAGCCCCCACTGTCTGTCCACACCAAGATGTGGTGACTGTCCAAGCCAAGGTGTATTATTGATCCTGTTTGCAGAAAACAGGCCACCTAGCACTATGCTAGACAAACACGGGGGCGGGGGAGGAGAGGACAGCAGTCTGCTGGATTTAATGCCAGCACTTTCAGAACCAGCCTTCTCAGAAAACCACACACCCAGCCTGGCTTTTCACCACAGAGGACAGGACCACAGTGTCCTTCCCATCTGGAGCTCATGCTGCTTAAACTCAGGGAATCCTCCCTTCTCTCCATACCTATCTCTGTGGCCATCTACTAGTCACTGCAATAGGGTGACCCGAGAAACCCTAAAGTGTAGTTGATCTGTTACTTCTGATTCCTGAAATAGCTGTGTTAAACAGTAAAGCCTTTCTGAAATGAGTTGTGATTGTATTATTCCCAAATACGATAGGCACTAAACTGGATTTCTTCCCCAACTCTAGCTTGCCATGCAGAGGAAGTTGCTTTCAGAGTAAAATCCCACACTGTATATTGCCAGTTACAGTACCTTGGGCTTTTTTGGTGCTGGTGCTCCCAGTCTGTTGTTTCCCCAGAGCCGCTGACCCCGTCTGGGCACACCTTGTTTTTGCAGAAATAGGTCCTCCTCCCTGGAGCTGGGGTCGAGTTCCAGACTGCTTTGTTCTGTGTTGTCTTTAGTTTCTCCAGTTTTTCTGTGTTTTCTGGTCTTCTGGTGAGCTATTTCTTGATTCCTGGAGTTCTCTTTGCTAAATTGTTTTCCATTTGTCTCAGTTCCAGATCCCAAAGAGGCTTTGAGCATTTATGTTACCATCTTATTCTATCAACATATGAATGTTGAAAGAAAAGAATTCTGCCTGTAGTGCAGGATTACAGAACTAGTCAGAAATGTAGAGATTTCTAGAATAACACTGTTGTGATTGAGTGTTGTGCGTCTTTACTGTCCTATTTGGCAGCCTCTGGTCATGTGTGCCTTTTGAGTTCATGAAATGTGGCTAATGAAACAGAAGAGCTAAACTTTTTGTTTGTTTTTCTGTTTTTTGTTTTTCTCCGGTACCGGGAACCGAACTCACGACCTTGCGCTTGCCAGGCAGGCGCTTTGCCGCTGAGCTAAATCCCCAGCCCCGAGCTAAACTTTTAACTTCTAATTTTCCACAGTTTAAATATAAATGGCAACATGTGTCAAGTGCCCAACATTTGGATAATGCAGACCTTGACCTGTCTCTCCTCAAAGTGGCTGAGAGATGAGTCCAAGATCACACAGATAATTATTGAAATAATTTTGATGTAGATGGAGTTCTGATTTTTTAATGGATTTTGCTATTTTGTTCTCCTATAAAGACATGCTGATCCATCTTATTTTATAATTGTGTGACATTGAAAAATGGGTTTTAGAAATAAGTCATTAAAATTTTTCTTTTAACTTTTAAAGATGTTTGCATATGGCAAAGGCTTAAAGTAGTTCACTAAGATTTTAATTGTCAGATTGAAGGGTCTATTTAAATAAATGTACTGTAGGAGAAAAACTGATAGATAGCTTTAAAAAAAATTTTGTAATTCAATTAGAATAGGTGAATAGGTACATGCTCAGAAGATCCAAATCTGAAAATCATTTCACAAAGGAACATTTTTCTTTTTCAAGATAAAAATGCATTATTAAATTTATAGCTTAGATTATTATTTTATTCTTTCATGTTTTGATGAGATTCTGTCTTAGTAAACTAATTTTAGACTTTCAGAAAAGTTACAGAAATTTCACAGGGCTCCAGCTATCTTTCACCTAGCTTTCCCTAATGTTAGCATTTTACGAGGCTGTACTGTGATTATCAGATGCTGGAAGTTCATATCGGTGCCCCCGGACTAACTCAGCTTTCACCAGTGTCCTCCTTTGTTCCGGGAACCTGCCCGGGATCCTGCATTGCATTTGCTTGTTACTTCTTGTTTTCTCCATTCTACTCTTCAGTCTTTTTTTTTAGACAGTTTTGCTCTGTTATTTTGTAGTATGTCTAAGTTTGGGTTTAGTTCATGTGATTTTTTTTTCATTCTTTGGGTGAAATTATGCAGTTTTTAAGAATATCACAGGAGTCAGTCATCATGGTGCACATATCTCAGCACTCTGGGAAGCTGAGGCAGGAGGATCACAAGGCCTAGCCCTATGAGCAACTTAGGAAGACCCTATATCAATTTTTTTAAAATTTTAGGAAGGGTTGGGGATGAGCTTTAGAAATCTTGCTGATGGAAACTGCTTTCTTTTATATAATAAATCTACATTAAAGTTACTTTAAATTACAGCCCATTAAGACATTCAAACGACTTATCAAACATAAGAACAGTGATTTTTAAAAGATATAAGCATTTCTAGATAGTGGGACGAGGTTAGTAGAATTTCACTAACAGAAACAGACTGCTTTATAGTGAGAAAGAGAAACTTTTCAGCTGAGGCAGTTCTTTCTTCATTGGAAAGTTAAGAAAGGAATTATGGGAATGGTCTTCCCAGCTAAGAGGACTGTCCTTGTGTAGAAAATCGTCTTGGTTGAGAAACTTAATTAGATGATTTGCCAAATAGAATGTTGAATGACTGAAAGGGGATTGCTCTCATCTTCTCTGTGTGACCCTGAGTTATTATCAAAAATTAAATCACCAGAGTAGTCCAGGTCTGGAGTATCGTGTGAAATCACCTATGTGGCACTAAATTTCTGCTTTTGGCATTTAAAAATCCTGTTTTTGGCATTATAAATCAACAAGAATTTCAAAAGTAATACTCTGTGACATGCCCCAAACTTTATTGACACTTAAGCATCCTCGGATTGGTACTCTTTTTTTTTTTTTTTTTTTTTTTTTTGAGACAGAGTCTCACTATGTAGTTCAGGCTGGTCTTGATCTCACTTTGTAGCTCGGGCTGCTCTTGAATTTGCGATCCTCCTGCCTCAGCCTCCAAGTGCTGAGATTACAGGCATGTGCCACCACACCCGGCTTGGTACTCTTTAAAAAGTGCATTTTTAGGTATTGTTTTAGATATATATATTCATTTCTCGAAAGAGAATGGGTACTGTGGGTTTGCTGGCATGTATCTATAATCCCAGGTACTTAGGAAGCTGAGGCAGGAAGAAACCTGAGTTTAGGAGTTTAAGAGTAGCCTGGGCAACATAGCAAGATCCTGTCTGGGGCAGGGAGGAGGAAGGAAGGAATGGATAGATATCTGTACTTTTATAAAGGAAGTGGGAACTAGTCCATGTTCAGCCTAGTACTTTGGTAATTTTTGTGTTTCTTCACTAGGAATGTTTCAGTGAAGTTTTTGTGTTTTTACTGCTTTGGGGTGGTCTGAACACATTCTTAGATAAAGAACGGGATGGTACTGCCACTTCACAAACAATATTCAGCGTAACAAGTGGAATTTTGTTATTTTAGTTCAGCTATCAGCAAGCACTGGGAGGCTGAACTGGCTGCCCTCAAAGGAAACAATGCCAAGCTCACTGCAGCCCTGTTGGAATCCACTGCCAACGTGAAGCAATGGAAACAGCAGCTCGCCGCCTACCAGGAGGAAGCAGAGCGCCTGCACAAGCGGGTAAGCACGGCCCGCCCTGGCAGTGCAGAGCACAGCTCCTCATCAGAGGGAATGTGCGTGTAGAGCCAGTGCACAGACAGCTTTCTGGTGCTTTGGTTGTCAGGACAGACGGATGGGTTGCATTATGTTGGTTTGTTTGGTTAAGGAAAATATTTTCTATAGTTTAATGAGAATGAAGATTATACAGCTTTTGAAGTCAAAAGTTGTTTGAGAGTTTCTTTCAGCTCAGTAGTTTCCTCTATAGAAAAGAAATACTGTATACTCTGCAGTTCTTCATTGTTTTATTTTTTATTTTTACTGTATTTTTTAAAAGAAGCTATGTGAAAAATACAGGCAACTCATTTAAAATTGGAAATATTAGCCATTTGAGACAGAAAAAAATCACAAATCTCAATTCTATTAATATCAGAAACCCAAACAATTTTTTTTTTATTCAAAGCATAGAAATGCATTCACCCTACAGGAAGCAGATGCCAGTAATTTCCCTTTCAAAAAGGATGTCAAGTAAGCCACTCCAGAGACAACAGAGAGTGGCTGAGCAGCAGCACAGTGTGAGGTGTGAGACAGGACCCGGTGACAGGGAAGTGACGGGAACTGATGGAAACATGAGGGGACTTAGCAACCGGAGAACACGTCCCTCTACCTGAACGTGGCCCTATGAGAGCAGTGGGAAGGGGCATCACCTGACAGGCACATGCTTCCAGATTTGCAAAGGGAGGAGGATGTGGGGATCTGCTCACAACATACTTAAGACACTACTGGACTATACAGTGAAAAATTATGGAAGTGATAAATTTTGTTATGTTTTTATCATGGAAAAACAACTTTTAGCAATTGAATATAGGCAGTAAGTACTCACTTAGGAGCTGTCAGGTTGCTGTGTTATCCCTGCCCTTAAAGAAGCTCTGCCAGGTCAATTTAATATAGGACTTCTAAATGGTAGAGACAGAAATACTGTAACTCTCAGCCTGTTAAATGTCAGATGTGCCAAGTCCGTGTTCTCCAAATTCAAAGAATAATTTCTAAGAAACAACAGAGGTTAAGAGTAGGAAATACAGGGAAATATAGCTCAGTGGTGCAGCACCTGCCAGGCAAACTTGAGGTCCTGAGTTCAAATCCTGGTACCCAGCAACAACAACAAAAAAAGAGTAGGAAATATTTTTTGAGGGAGAGAGATACAGATGCTGAGAGACAGGAAGGGTCCGAGTTGTCAGTGAGCCCTCTTCTCAAAGGAAGTTTTACAGAGCACAATCATGAGGTAGATACAAGATTATGAAATGAGTACAACATGGGACAAAACTGTGATCAACCAATAAGGTTACAGTACAGCCGCGTGGTATTGACCCAGTGGGGAAACAAGTCAAGTAGCAAGTGTACATGGAAAGAACAAAGAACTTTCCAGGAAAGGATGAGTCCAAGGGCCCTGCTCTCACTGCTACCTGTCTAGACTTTATTGGACCAGGTGTTACCACTTATCCCTTGCAAGGCATGGAGGCCTGGTCATTCTGTCTTATCTTGAGGTTTGGCCTCTAACAGATGTACCTCTGGCCACAGTTGTAATGAGCTTTCCTCTTTTGTATTGATTCTCTCGAGGGCCTTTCCCTGATTGCTTATGATATCTCTACCTACCTAACTTAACTGTCTATAAGTTGACTATTAAAGAATTTAAGAAAAGTAAGACATGACCTTTTTATTTACTCACAGATGTATAATTTCCAGAGTTCTTGCCTTTCTGCAGGCCTGAATTTCTATCAGGTGTCATTTCTCTGCAGTCTGCATGACCTCCTTTAGCATTTCTGGCAATAAATTATCTCACCTTTTGTTCAGATAGATTTGTCTCTTGACTACAGCTTCATTTCCTGATTTTTTTCCCACATTATAGTCATTTTAACTGTATATTGGACGCTGAAATGAAGTTTTGGAGAGACTGTAGTTTTGCTGTCTTCTTTGAAGAGTGTAGGTTTTTTTTTTTTTTTTTTAATCAGCAGGCAGTTAAATTACCTGTGGGTTAGCTTGATTTTTGTGGAATTGTGGACCTATATGTTATTAGGCTTGATTTGTTTCAATTTTTCCTTAATTCTAATGTAAATCAGTTAGTCCTGGGAAACCTTGAAGACCCAGCTGTTCTGGGTGTCCTGTTCTGGCTGGGGCTAGTGCAGCAGCATAGGGCTGCCGACTTCCTCTGTAGGAAGCCCTGCAAGAGCTTGGTTCTTCTGACCTCAGTGTTCCCTGCACTCCTTGGCCCCTGGGTCTCACCTGTGCCTGATCAGCTGGGGTTAGCTAGAGACTGTGGAAAGCCTCTGTGCTTAGTAAGGGCTTAGTAAGCGCTCCTTCCTCTTCACCGCCTGACTTCTCCCATCTCTTCTCAGGGGCCCCACAGCACTCAGCCTCCTGGGCGAGACCGGAGTTTTCTGAGTTCATCCAAGCAGTTGAGCAGGATGGCTGGCGCCTTCCTGCAGGCGAGAAGATGTGTGACTGTGTATTTTACCCAAAGTGACTGCTTTCTCTCAGTGTTCTGCCAATTTGGTTACTCGTCAGGGCCTTCAAACAGTTGATTTTTATATTTCGTCCACAGTTTGTGATTGTAATCTGTGGAAAATTAATAATCATCATTATCAGAACTAGAACTGCCCTTAGGAAATGTGTTATCTAATCAAACAAAAAGAAACCCAAGGTTTTTGAACAGATTCTGTGTTTTGTGAGTGGAACAGGAGAGCTCTGAGGGCTTGTGTAAATAAGGTTAGCCATCTGGAGAAAGTGCAGTGGACCGAGAGCTGATGGCCTGGCAGGGTGAGACTGATTTCCCATCATCAGAGAGGACAGTCCAGTGAAGTCAGGGGGTGGACATGAACCTAGCTTGTTCTCAGAGCAAGGAGACTAGCCTGCTTTTAGCTGGAAGTATATATATTTTGGCCAAAGAGGATGGATGAACAGCTGGGGCCAATGAGGGAAGTGCAAATCAAAGCTACACATGTGTGGGATATGGTGCACCCCTGTCTCCAGAGCCTGAGGCAAGAGGATCACCACAAGTTCGAGGCCAGCGTGGGCCACATGTTGAGTGTAAGGCCAGTCTGAACTACATAGTGAGACTCTACTTCAAAAACCAAAAAATAAAAAATAAAAATCCCACAGAGCTTGAATGTGTAAGCATGCAAGGAGAAATAAAGAAAAGGGAGCGAGCTCTTTGGGTTGTCAGTTATTACTAATTAAAGAACTCTTTCTTATATCTTTCTTATAAGAAGCACTATGAATATGAAGTCATTGTAGTACTGAAAAATGTAAGTTGTATTTTAAGCATATATTTTCTTCTAAATTCCATTACATTTTAGAAATGTACTTGACAAACTTCTAACTTCTGCAAGGCCAAGTTTTCACAACCCATATTTAATTTGAATGCTATAGCTGAAGGACAGAAGGACATATCTGATCTTGAGTATATGTTCAAAAGAAATTTCTTTTAAACTTTCATTATAGGAGTTCCCTGCTGTCAAGAAATCACTATTCTTAACCTGTGCATGACCCAGTATGTAAATATTTCCTTTGTTCTTTTTACCTTGTATTCACTGTGCATCTTTAAAGAATATGTTCATTTTATGCTGATCGTGTTACCATTTCCCAAAATTCATTATTCACATATCAGGAGCTTACTATGTCTTCAGCAAAAAGCTTTCTTAAATTGTCATCTAATTTCACATATGTTCTCATTGAATTTTAGGTGACAGAGCTTGAATGTGTAAGCAGCCAAGCAAATGCAGTGCATACCCATAAGACGGAATTAAACCAGACGATACAAGAACTGGAGGAGACGCTCAAAGTCAAGGAAGAGGTATTTGCCACTTCCTGCCCATCTCTGTCAGGCTGGCCTGTGTTAGAAGTACTAGTCTGTTGAGCTTATGGAATAAAAGTAACATTGTAAATTTTTTAAAATGAAATTTTTATTGAGTGGTATTGCGCTTGTGCATGTTTTCCCCATTCTCATTTCTGTTACTATGCCCTGGGTTGAACAGATTGGGCAGTTAGACTGAGAGAATGCCTATTACTTTCTGTATGGGGGGTGTGTTTATAAAGTCAATAGGAAGCCATGGGAGACGAAAACGGTTTCACAAGTTGTAGCTGTCTCTGGTTTCCAGTCAAAAGCCGTAATGTCCTAGGAAAGGATTGTCTCAAAGCTTGAAACAGCCTTTAAAATGGTCAGGTTGTGTCTCTAAGCTGTGCTGCATCGAGTTAGAGTTGTTGCTGAAGGTCATTCTGTCCTAGACAGCACACCTGTGAAGATGACTGCATCCCTCTCAAAGGCAGTAGAAAGGAACGTGTTTTAAATGACTGTTTCCTAAAAAGTGGGGTGATAATTTCAGCAGAAAATAAGACCTTCCCTTTCCTTGATACAGTTTAACTGTTGTTAAGGACATTACTCTACCATTTCTAGGAAATAGAAAGATTAAAACAAGAAATTGATAACGCCAGAGAACTCCAAGAACAGAGGGATTCTCTGACCCAGAGACTGCAGGTGAGTGACCATGCGGTGTTCCCCTCATTTCCACGTAGAAAGCTGTCAGTCGTTCTTTCCCACAGTGATGACTTTTCCTGTGACTTCATTTCATAGGTTTTAGTCGTTCTTTTTTTCTAGGACTTCTAATTTATGCCTAATCTTTGACTTTTCAAAAATTACTTGGTTCATCTAGTACCTTGAGATACTGGTGGCCATTTATAAATTGTCTTTGGTAAGTTATTTTGTGAATTCCTACTTTCAATATTAAAAATACCCTGAATTTTAAAAAAATTCTCGTGCTGGGCGTGGTGGTGCACACCTGTAATCCCAGCACTAGGGAGGCTGAGGCAGGAGGATCGTTCTGAGTTCGAGACCAGCCTGGGCTACAAAGTGAGCTCAAGGCCAGCCTGAACTGCATATCGAGACCCTGTCTCAAAAAGACAAAAAAAAAAAATTCTCAAATTGATATCATTTAATATAGGAACTCTGCTTATTTTTCACATTGAACTAATGTATGAACTATAGCAGTAGTTGTTCCCTATTGAACACAAGTGAGTGCTATTTTTTTCTTCAGTCTAATTAATTTTGCAAAGTTTTTCATGTAAATAATACACTTCCTGATTCAAATTTGCATACATGGTTGCATCCTGTGTCAGTGGTGGTCAGGCATAGTGGGAGATTGTTCAGAATTACACCAAAGTTTCTTCTTGCTGGCTGTTATGTTTTGTGTCTAGAGATCCCCACAAAGCCTCATGCAGTCATAGGTGGGGCTTTTTCAGAGGTGGCTGGATCTAGGGTGTGTAACTGATGGTGCAATGCTAGGATTAAGGGTGTGATTACTAAATCAGTCCACTGATTGGTTTGGCGCTGCCCTAATCCTGGTAGCCTAGATACAATATATGGGAGAGTAAGAACCTTGTCCCTTGCGTGCTTGCTTTTTCCAACTTGTGCCTACCGTAACTGTCTCTCTGCCATGCCACCCTGCCTTGGAGCCAGCTGATTCTGGACTGAAATCTCTGCAAACTGTGAGCTAAATAAACCTTTCCTCCTTTAACTTTGGGTGTTGGGTATTTTGTCTCAACATTCACAAAAGTAATTAACAGGTATTCCGTTGCTTTAGGTATTTTTCTTCTTTAAGAGAGGGTCTCGCTATATAGTTCAAGTTGGTTTTGAATGCAGTATGTAGCCCAGCCTGGCCTTGACCTCATGGCAGTCCTCCTGCCTCAGCCTCCCAAATGCTGGGATTACAGGCGTGTGCTGTCATGCCCAGCTAGGTACTTATATTACACCCCCATGGCTCTTGTCTTTGAACAGTTGGGGAAAATAAAATTGCTTATTTTGGCTCAACCTCTTTAATGTTGACCTTCCATTTTAATCATCTGTGTAGAGTAGTGGTTCTAACTAGGGCAGTTTTGTGTCCCAGGGAACATTTAACCATGTATGGAGACATGCTTTACTCTCACAACTAGGGGAGTGCTACTGACATCTAATAAGCAAAACCAGGGATGCTGATTTTGTGACGAAGAATGACAATACTGTTGAAGTTGAGAAACCCTGATAGAGAACCAGAATATGAAGCATATAATTAGGACTGGAAGAGAGGTGGAAGGAGGCTAGGCCTAGTCTGTTCTTGTGTTTGTCTTGGCTTTTGAGCACAGCACTTGTTGTGACTGTACTAGGCACTTAGCACACATCACCCCTCATGCTCACACTAGCAGGTGGGTTGCTCCTGTGGGTAGAGAAAAGAGGTGCTAACAAGTTTAACCAAGGCACTTAGCTGCAAAGGAGTGAAGCCTACGTTTGCATCTGAAACTTCTTCAAGCAACAAGTGCCTAAGCCATCCTTAATGATTCTTCTCTAAGATTTATGTCTGTAAATTTTTGTCATATGTACAGTAGTGCCACTTATGAGGAAAAATCAAGAGATGATTTATTCATATCAAACTTCTGTGTTAAAATATCTAAATGTATTTCACTGATGAGGAGTGATTGAATTTTATAACTGGCGTCCAAAACTGTGAATAACAGATCTTAAACATTCCTTCACTGAGTATCAGAAGTTATTATCAGAAAAAAATCAACCTGGAACAGGACTGGGGGGCTTTTAGAAAACTTAAGGATGAATTGTAAAAGACTAGGCCTCAGGAATAACCTATTTCTTCAGTTAGAAGAAAATTCCTTCTGTAACCCTTACCCTCACCCCGCCACACACACCTAAGTGTGTCCTATTGATCAAGTCCCAGCACCGTAAATTTAATTTAGAAAACTGTATTTACTAAAGTCCTTGGATAGCAGAGAAACTCCCAAAATTGTAGTGTGTAGAGTTGGATTGAAGGTGTGAATGTGGGTTGAAAAACCATAGCTGTGCCTGTGATCATTATAGAGTTTCTAATTTTCAGGTGGTTTGTTTTTGTTTTTATTTTTGGTACTGGGAGTTGAACTCAGGGCCTTCACAATGAGTTAAATCTCTAGCTGCTTTTTATAAAAATAAATTTTGAGACAGAGTCTCTTAAGTTACCAAGACTGGTCTAGAACCTGAGATCCTCCTGTCTCAGCCCCCCAGAATGCTGGGATCATTGACAGTCTGCCACTGTGCCAGCTAATTTCTAAATTCTGGTATTTAGATATTTCCAAATATCAATATAACACTCATGGTAGCAAAGTTAGAAAAGTATATCTAGCAAGGTAAAAACTCATCCTAATGCAAAGCACCTCTCCCTGGTGTGTGTTTGACAACTTTCTTTCCTTGGCTTTCATCCCCACATTCCTATACGGATGGTGGCTTATGTTGTTTCCGGTTATACCATAATAAATAATATCATCGTAGTAATAAACCTTACATACATAGTAAGATTTATTACTTTCTGATGATTTCTTTAAGATTAACATTTAAATGAGAATTGGTTAGTACCAAGGTTTAAAATGCCTCATTCTGAGCCGGGCGTGGTGGTGAATACCTGTCATCCCAGCACTTGGGAGACTGAGGCAGGAGATCACACGAGTTCAAGACCAGCCTGGACTGCATAATGAGACCCTGTCTCAGAAAATTAAAAAAAAATTTTTCAGTCTCATCCTGAGAAAGGGCTGTCTGGAACAGCAGGGCCCCGACTGCTTACTGGTCTCTGTTCGTCTATACTGTCTTGTAGGAGATAAATCCCTACATCAGTACCTCTGGGGAGTCACCCTAGGGCCTTCTGCATTGCACATGCCAAGCAAGGGCTCTGCCACTGAGCTAAAGCCTCAGCCACAGTGTGACAGGAAGAACGCCTCCCAGCCGGGTAGGTGTCAGCTGTGCGAGTTCATGTCCCCGAAGATTGAATATCGAATATCAAAGGATGAATTTCAAGGACAGAGGAGCTCGAGAGTAGAAAGTGTTCGTGGAGAGACAGCTCCTAAGAGACGGGGCATCCTGAAGCGGGTGGCCACAGAGGCTCTTTCTCCAAGGCTATCTACACAGCAGACTCTCACACCATGCGACGAACTCCAGTCATCCAGCAGGGTCACAGGTACAGCTGCTTAGCTATTACTGACCCGTTAGGGAAGCAAGGCAGGTAGCGATAGCATCATTACCTGCAGCTGACCTACAATTTCTCACAGAGGAAAAACAAAGGCGCGTGGAAAAGGGGGAGGACTGGTCCGGTGAGCTGCTCCCCTGCCTATAGGCGGTGCCTACTTAGGCCCACCCAGGCTGGAGATGCGAGTCAGTGTTTCAGTGTGTGGGATGTGCACACCAGTGCTCACCTGGAGCATGCAACCACAGGGACTGTAAACGCTCAGCCTCAGTAATGCTGCTGGGCCTGCAGGCCTGCCCTCTTCGTGGCCCTCCCGTCAGTGTTGATGTGTCTCACCCTCTGTACTGCTCCCCTCCCACACTCCAGGCCCTCTCTGACTGCCTGTTAATTTCTATCTAATCTAGCTGTCTGTTATAGCACACTTTGCTACCATTTCTCAGTACAGCTAAGAACAAACCGTTTTCATGTAGCACTCCCATGAGCCAGTCACCTTCCACACACCCACACGTGAGAACTGGGGAGACACTGTAGAGCTAAACCATAGCATAACCCCCAGAGCAGTCAAATCCTGTGGAGTTCATTCTGTTCTGCATTTCCATAGTTTAACTCCTTTCTCCAGTACAGTACTAAGAAACCTGATTCCCATTATCCACAATATATTTACTTGTTGGATCTTAGAATACAAACAGAGTAGTCTTGAATTGCTAATTAGCACCATTGTCACAAAAATATCAAAAGCTACTAACTAAAGAGCAGTGTGATTGTCCTTAGCCTATGTGCAAAAGTTAGTTGGATGCCCGGCATGGTGGCACGGGCCTGTAATCCCAGCACTCGAGAGGCTGAGGCAGGAGGACTGTGAGGAGTTCAAGGCCAGCCTGGATTACATAGTGAGAGTCTGCCTCTAAATAAATAAGTAAGTAAGTTATAAGTAAATTGGACTAGTTTTCCCACTCTCTTCATGCGCAGTAGTCACATTTATTTGTGCCATTATGCTCCACTTTAGTCTTCCCACAATCCTTCCTGACTTTAGGTATGTATTTAGTGACTGTATGAAACATGAAATGGCAGAGTCAAAAATAAAAAAATTCCCTCAGAGAATGTATCATCCCGACCCAGTACCAGGCTCCATCTCACCACAGTTACTGTAGGTAACTGTTTCATTAACTTTGCCTGTTTCCTCTTCCTGCCTTTCTTTCTCCCCTGCTTTTTTTCTCTCTCTTTCTTTCTGTTTTTTGGTTTTTTTTTTTTTTTTTTTTTGAGGCAGGGTCCAGCTATATAGTTCAGATTGGTTTTGAACTCACTATGCAGCCCAGGTTGGCTTCAAACTTGCAGCAATCCTCCTGCCTCAGCCTTCTGAGTGCTGGAATTACAGGCGTGCACCACCACACCCTATTCCCTATTTATTCTTACCAAGCAAAGAGATACATGGGTGGGGTTTTTACTCTACCCTCCCTCTTTGGTTACACAAACAGTAATGGACTCCAGATTATTCTTCTGTGCTTATTTT